TTAGGCACCTGAAGCCACAAGAACCGGCTTTTTTGGATGCGGTTCATAGTGTTCTAACAGAAGAGGCTGACATCAGGCAAATCAACACTGCCGTGTATAGTGTCGTCCAATCGCTTTCCGCATCGGAAGGTTCGGAAGATTGAACGGCGTGTACACGCCGTGGCTGAGATCACGTCGGCGAGACAACATGCGTATCGTATCCAATGTGTGATGGATTGGTGACCAACAGACCCTTCACGCCTACAGTGCGGCGAATAGCCGCCAATCTACGACGTATCCATCACACTTTGAGTCAAGGCGTGCTGCTGACCACCAAACAGCACTGTCTTGATAGAATACGAATGCTAGTGGCTGCTAAGAAGTCACTAGTGAGGCGAGCGAGAAGTATAGCGGAAAACCTTAAGTTCCGCGAGAAGTATAGCGGAAAACCTTAGGTTCCGGTGCACGTGGTTTTGTCACCCGTAAGTAAATATTTATGAGTTTGAAATATTTGTAATATCATTTTATTGCTTTTTCGATAACAACAGAGTATATATATTAAGAAAATTTGCACTTTTGTGCAAATTTATTTTGTAGACAGATTTTTCAGCAATCTACAAATTGTTCTTAGAAGGTATAACTTTAGTCCTGTGGACATCTGGAATATGGACGAAACAGGGATTACTACAGTTCAGAGACCTGACCGAATTGTGGGTAGACGTGATGTTAAACAAGTGGGAAGAGTTACTTCGGCAGAACGCGGTACGCTTGTAACTTTGGCGTGTGCTGTTTCTGCTGCTGGAAATACTGTGCCACCTTTCATCATATTACCTCGTGTTCATTTTAAGCCCCATTTTCTTAGAGATGCCCCGCCTGGAAGCAGCAACTCCAAGCAACATTACAGCTGGATTCCAGGTTTTCGGAATGTATCCATTTAATAGGGATATTTTTCCGGACAGTGAATTTATGGCTGCTTATGTTACAGATAGACCAGATCCTGAACAAGATTTGCAAGATATTGAGCAAAACGTAAATTCTGGTGAAGTATTGGGAGTTGAAGCAAATCTACCTAAACTTGGTCAAATTACACCCATCAAAGAGGATTTGAACCGTGTCGACAACCCCTTGCCAGACCAAGAGACTAATCGCAACGAAGATGTGCAACAAGCTGGACCAAGCAGAATTGCAGAAAGTAAGACGCCCACGCCCTAGAATTCTCAGCGTCTCCAGTCATCTAACAAAGTAACAACATGTAGTTTTACAGATCTCGAAAATTTGAAGCCGTTTCCAAAAGCCGCAGAAAGGAAAGTGCAACAGGGTCGCACAAAAAGAAAATCTGAAATCTTGACAGATACGCCTATTAAAGATGCATTAGGAGAAAAAAAAAAGAAAATAAAACGAGATCGATAAAAAAACAGGTCTTTAACAAAACCAAAAAGAACACAAAAAAACAAGCAAATGCGAAGAATTCAAAAATTAAAGACGATTCAAGCAGTGATGAAGAAACCTTCTGTCTGCTTTGCGTTGAACCCTGGTCAAATAGTTTGCCTAACGAGAAATGGATTCAGTACACCCAATGCAAATTGTGGGCACATGAAAAATGCGCAGATGCGGGCATATTCTACGTTTGTCATAATTGTGATTCAGATGGTTCTGACTAGATTATTCACTTTTTTAACGGATAGGTACCGTTTTTTTTGTATTATAATTTTTTTTGCAGGCTGATTCTTACATAAAAAAATAAACACAATAATCATTTTCTTAGTTTTTGCCTTGACCAACCAACCCCAAGGTATGTACCAACCATCCCCAAATACGGGGTTGCTTGGTATGCTTGCATCCTTAAGGAAAAAATTAAATTTTGGATTTAGGATAGGTCCAAACATTATGTAATTTGAAATTTATATAAACAAAACAACACTAATCTGGAAATCAAATGTATGTTCTCACTATCTATCAATAAAAAAATTAGAGGGGCTTCAATTTGAAAAGCGTACCAACCAGCCCCGGTCTCCCCTACTGTTCATAGCACAGTAAACAAAAACACTCCTCGTTTTCTTTGCCTGTTTTCTTGTTTTGTTTAGCTTGATCGCTGCAGCTTGGAGCAGTCCCTATTTCAGCAATCTCTGTCTTCTTGTCGTTAACCTTTTGAATCTTGCAAGCTTGCTGATGGTTCTTTATGGGAGTGGACGTCAACACTTCCGCCTTTTGCCTTTTATTTTTGCGTCCTGTTTCAGGTAGCAATAGTGGGTATTGGTCTTATCTACTTGAAACGGGGAAAAGTTATTAGTTCCTGCGTTTCCTTCTGTGGTCTCGTTTCAAGATTTTCAGTCTCTTAAATTGTAGTGTTGATGCAAGGTGCTGAGATTTCGCATGAACTGGTGGAACATTGATGCAAGGGAGTGTGGCATTGAGACGAGGTGGAGAGACATTATTGTGATGATGGAGCATCATTGAAAACACAGAGATTATAGGGCCATATTCATGACTTTTTAAATTCTTGAACAGCATGTTGGACAGAAGCACCTTTGTTGTATAATATTCTCCAAGTTTGGCGATATCATATTGATTTATCATTCTCCGTGGGTGGCTTTTCTGAAAATTACTAATCTATTGTTCAAATTACTTCTTTATGGGTCCATAATCTGCTTCATTTATATAGCCACTAGATTCTAGTGGCTGCATTTTTTGTTGTGTGTGGAGCGAATGAGATTAATAAGTCAACGTGGTTTGCCGAGTCTAATTCTAAGGCTGTGGAGCAGTAACAGAACTTTTTGATTTTTATTTGGTCGAACAGTGTCATATAAAATATTGAAGCCATGTTTTGAAAACTGGCTCATTCAATCATCCATTCTCTGTCACTCACAGTTGCCTGAGAACCATCAGGAGGGGCATATTATAAAAGCCGATCTTACACTCGCTTTCGTGTGCATCGATAAAAAAGGCGGAACATATGTTCGAGCAGCATTACAATAACATATGACAGTTGTCAGCTCACCTCTCTCAGCACTGCAAATAACTCCAACTTATTTCTTTCCGTTTATGCTTGAAGTTTTGGTTGGTTTTGAAGACGAAGTTTTTAGACCAGTATATCGTTTCTAAAAAAAACTCATTCTCACACCACCTGGAGGTAGAGTAGGCGGCGCGTTTTTTTTATTGTTGTTTCTCCTGTCGCGGTTAAGCCGCGACAATGACGATGTAAAAAAGCTGATGGATTGGTTATCCAACCATTCACCTTTTCCAGAAATGAAGGATATCATGTCAATACGCACTGGAGTTGGAGATGAAAACATAAACTGTTACATAGTTCTAGAAATTGGTTGCACTGGCATTTCAAAAATTATTGGCAGCGATTTTTATACGGTGAAATTCAAGAGGAATGACAGACTTAAATCACTTGCTGTTATGACTGCAGGCATCCCAATAGAAGGTGAAATTGTTTCGATTAATCCATTAATAATTTTCCAACGAATGTGTATGGCGAAAGAATCTGAAGAGGAACTTAAAAACTTTCTTGCGTACGAACTTGCTCCATTTCCATTATCACTTTTCAATGGCGTTCAATGGCGTAAATGCGTTAAATCTTTGATGTATAAGGCGGCATTCAAGCAGCATTCTGGAGACATAAATTTTGGTGATACAATGTATGTCATCGACGGAGGGCACTTATTACACAGAGATCATTGCTGAAGCAGGAAGACGTTTCCTCCTTCAATTGTACGGTTACAGTGATGTTAAAAGTAAGAATAACATGTCTGTAAACGAATATAGATATGTATGCTTCACAAAAATTAGCATATAAAAGTAAATTTAATATTTCGTTGCTACCACCAACAGAAGCAGCAGCACGAAAACATTCATTCCGAGCCTATCACCAGGTTCAGCAGTGGTACGAGAATGAAAAAAATGCAGAACAATGGGGATGGAATAGAAACAAAAAGGACTAATTCCTATTATGATGCTCCAACCCCCCGCTCCAGAATCGTTATTGAAACTCATTTCTTGTAAGTGTAGGAAAGGATGTCAGAAAGCCTGTGGAAGCAGGAAAGCTGGATTAAAATGCTCCGTTATATGCACAAATTGTAGTGGTACTTGTAATAATTCGCCAATTCCATCATATAATGACGATGAAGAGGAAGGAACGGCGACTATTTTTGAAAAAGCTTTCAATGATATCGAAAACGAAGAGGCGTGTGATGAATCTGATAGTTACATCGCAGATGATGCGGACGAAATTTCAGTCTTAGATGTCTCGATCGGTGCTCAGGACGAAGTTGTAACACCTGGTCCAACAGGAACAGCAAAGCGAAGGAGATTGCGCTGAATTTCAAAATAAATACATCACATGTGGATTAGGCCTACAGGGGAAACCACGATAAAAAACTCGCCGCTTACTCTACCTATAGGTGGTGTGGAAATGAGTTTTTTTTAGAAACGTCTATTGAAATGTATTTTGCGGCGCTCGTACGCCAAAAACTATTGATTTTATGAAAAATGTTTAATTTTGTGCATAAATATTTTTTTTCGTGAAATGCGTCGGAAAGGAGATATTCCCAAAAAACTGTTTTTAGGCGCCATTTTTCCAATATGGCGGCGCGAGCGGCGGAGATACGAGGTGTTAAAGTTAAAATTCGAAAAAAGCATACCGAAATCCATAAAATAACCAACTTTCAAAACTCCCGGAAAACGTTCCAGGTAAAACTACCAAATGACTGGACTATTATGGGTTTATAGATTTAATGCTCTTGTATCAAGTTTAAACTTCTCAATCTGCCCCTATAACACTGAATAAAATGATTCTACCTATGGTCTTTCAAAACCTCTCGCCTCTCGCTCTGGCGATAGGTAGAAATTGGGCTCACAGGGCACAATATATCAGGACATCTAGGTAAGCTTGAATCCAGCAAACCAATCTTCGCATGCCTTTCCATTTTTGAATGGGTTGTCTATGTTATTGCAAAGTCATAAAATAACTATAGGAAATCAGTGCGAGTCAAGCCGAGGAATAAACTATCCAACTCTTTCAGGTAGTTACATAACTGATTTTCTTGATTTTTGGTGAGAACATATCTAAGTGAACCTTTCTAACTTCTTTTAACATATTTCAGATTTCATATATTATATCTTTTTGCTTCTGATGCGTGGTAGACTCATTTATCTGGATGATAGCATCCATGGCCCGTTTTAGATCGACCTCTGTCCATCATTTTGACTTGTTTTTCGTTTGTACTGAGAAACCATCACCCTAAAACAAATAAAAATGACAATCAAAATATGGCCGGGCATAGAGGATGCTCTATCCGCTTTGCCCTCATTAGCTTTGCCCAAATTATTATTTTGACATATACTTATACCTACCTACGTATATGACATGAGTATATATGATCATATTAAGAAATACCTTGTTCTCGAATAAAACATTAAAATGAAAGAATTCTTACCTACATAATCAAGCACCGTACCTCAGCAAAATTTTTAAGAAATCACTCGAAATTTGATTTTTCTTCATAAAAATTGCACAAGAGTGTAGACATGTTTTTTAGAACTGTCATGGCGTCAGCGGCCGGTAGATCTCGCAAGCTGCTAGACATTTATAACGTCATCTAGTGAAATTTTGTTTATTTACTCTCAAAGAACTGAATAAATGAATTTATACGTCGAAAATACAATATTTATTATTGAAAAATATCATTCATAACAAACAAAATAACATCTACTATGACAAATGTTAAAATATATCTAGTAGTAACCAAGACATTCTCCAACAAATAGGTAGATATTTAGTTGAAGGGGATTGAAAAAATATTGTTTTTTTGAAGGTGGTTTAAATAGATATTCCTTTGAATTAAACTGTCAACAGACACATCACACCCATCAATAAGACTGACTTGGCTTTTTAGCGGGGTTATTCGTTATATTCTTCAGTTTACTTCGAGAGCGCGTTGAATAAACAGCTATACAACATGGAAGCTAGTTGTTCGGGAATCGTGAAGCGTCCGAAATTGTCATCATTAAATATAAATGAAAAAACAATTGTTGTATATAATTCTTTAAGAATACAATATCCGCCCGAAATAATATAGTTGGTTTGGGTTTAAGTTAAAGGATTCATCGCAAGAAATAATAAGACCTTCGAGCTGTGTGAAGTAAAGAAATACCTATACAGTGCTCTGGAAACAGTCGACCAAAAAGCTTGGGAGAAATGTATACACAAAAAAAATCAGAATCGAAGCAGAGATGTGGGATCTGGATGATCGCATAGACTCATTATCAGAAAAAATTATTCCAGTTGTCATCAATCCTAATAAAACTGATTCATACAGTGGAGAATCACTCAACAAATTCCTGTAGACTTTTTTCAGATTGAAATTATCGCATTGACTTATTCGAAGTAAGTATTCCCATTAAATCTATAAAATTGTTTCTGAACCAACTATAAAATCCAACAAGAAATATGAATCTTCATTTCCAAACCAACAAGAATATATAAAGTGTATCTCTCGCAGCGCAGCCATACTTTTCTACTTCCTGAAAATGTCAAATTCGAAACGTCGAACACCGCAAAATTTTGAACCATCTTCATTATCATACCGACGATCAATTTGATATTATCAGTGTCAATGACGTTAATAATATCAAATTTATTTACATCAAAAGATGAATCATAACTACAAATTATAATGTTTTGATTTGAAGCGAACGAGCGGTTCTTTTGGCGGTATTTTCGCATTCTCTGTCGGTGTTTTCGCGTTCTTTGTCGCATATCCCTATTTTAATGGCTCGTTAGCGGCGTCCTCAAGGGATATAGAGGGTAGACATATCTCAATGATTTTGTGGGTGAATTGCAGTGCTATTTGCTTGAGACGACTATGTTGCTTTCTTTGATGTAGCGTCATGTTTGCTTTCTTGAAATTCTTTCACTCTCAGACAAAACTGAACGAACTATAAAGTAGGGGAGAACAGGGCAATGGGAGCCTACGAAGGGGAAGTTTGAATAAAAACCTCGTTAGTGAAAAGTATTTTTTATTATAAAATCTTACCTTTGTTGTAAGAGAACACTTTGATGATAGTTGTAGTTAAGTTAAGTAGTTGTAGGAAAAACCCTATAGGTATACAAAGATAACCTCTGAAGATAACTTTATATCTTCTAAACCGACATTTAAAATCATAGCAGAAATGTAACGGTTAATTGAAAACCTGAAAACCGTTTTTTTTGCCCTGTATTCATTTTTACGTCGATAGTTGATACGTCAACTTGTGAGATGTCTATCACCCGAAAATTAACATTTTTTATGATTTCAATATTTGTTTAGGGCAACTATACTTCAGAAGTACCTGAACATTGGTATCAGATTTTTCTAGTTTGAAAAAAATGTGTCCATTTAACCAAACAAACAAATACCTACCTATACATAACTGATAAACAAGTGCGTTGAGAGATTAAGTAACGGCTTATACCCAAGACAGAGTTCAACTTTATCCGAGAAACCAACAGCATATCTCTGTTAATTGCGATCTAATGCAATTAAAACGATTACGATCATTAAACGAGAGTTAGAAGTCACCGAGCAAAACTCAATTTCACAGAGCATTCGACTCAGCGATCGTGCATGCTCGGTTACGCGCCAATAAGCCCTTAACCCCGCCTCCTACTTAAGTCAGGCGCGAAGCCGTTGGCTTAAACCAGCCATTTTATAGGGTTGAGGCGGGATTTCAAGCCCACGACATCAATATTGTATGGAAAGCGAAAGCATGAAGTTCCATAAGTTCCACTCAAATGGTCACCGAGATTTGTCACAGTCACAGCTGCGCGCTATCAGAAGCGAATCTGAACATTTTTTCGGTTGTGTTTGAATGCTTCAGTTAGCCCGACGTCTAGTTACCCATGTAATAAACAGAGGATTTGCCGTTAATGAACAATTTAACTGCTGCAGAACATTGTTGTTGATGACGTTTAGTTTTAAGTGTTGATTTATGGATTTTGCTGTGTTTTGGTGAAACAGTTTAGTTTTGGTGGAAAATGATGGACACCGGTAAGCTGCGCATGATTATTTTCATTTGATAGGTACTTATGTATTTCCACTTTGAGGGTTAACCAACTAGCCCTGAGTATGAAAGGCGCCAGACATTAGTCCTCCTAATAATATTTTGAATAATTTTCATTTATTCGGGGTACCTTCATACGCGAGCCAAATGAGGCTTACCTCTGATATGAAGTTAAGTGCAATGTGAAACAAGTTCCTGAAATTTGTGCGACGGCATCGCAGACCTTTCATAAAAAGTTGAATATTTTTATTCACGCAATATCTAGGTAGGTACTTTTCGAAAACTTCTGCCTTTATATGAGATGACTCAATATAGTTTCGTGCAGATTACAATGAGTGATCACATATGAGTGATCCATCTTTTTTCAAGACAGCCATTCCAACAATTTTGTTCACTATAATCTCGATAGACCTTTACTTAGGTACCTACCTTTAGGTATTTTAAATGATCGCAAGACGACGAATTTTCAATACCTACCTATTATAAATGCTAAAACAAAACATAACGTGTACATATAATTATAACATCTACCATCAATTAATAATATAATTTTGAAAAAATCAGAAAATAACATACCATTTTTGATACAACTTTTTTATGATTTATAATTCTCAGAACGAAACATATTATATATTTCGAACATAGGACAAATGCAGAAGGCTGTCATTCTTGCTTGCATCGAGTCTACTTAGGACATACCCACGACTCTCGGACCCAATGATCACTTATACCCATAAAGACCGCGGTGTAGGGAGAGTGGTCTATGGGTAAAAATACCTACCTATTTGAGTGCTCTTCCGAATGTAAGAATGAGCCAATAATGCATTGGATCTTGTTTAATAACACTGAAGACCTTGGCTTATCAGAGCGCCTGACTTTCGCCTTCCTCAGGTAGAGTGGACTGAAGTCGGAAACTGCGGTAATCATCATGGCCTGCCAGGATGATGTCTTCAACAACATAGTCTATCGCAAACGCGTGATGCGGGTATAGAGGTTCCTGACCATAAGGTGTAGGACCAGCCGCGAGGCTTCCGAGACCCTAATGATTTTGCTGTCAGCATTTTTTAAGGACAAAACACAAGCACTACAGAAAAATCCTTAAGGCGCCCCCAGAGTGGTGCCTGAGCGATTTAAATCGCTGAAGAATAAATCCATTTGGAAAAACGTTCTCATAAAGTTCATTCCACATGAACGCAGTTCTCCTGATGAAAGAGTTCTTTAAGAGTGAAATTTGAGTTGTACTGAGTTGAACCTCAAACGATGAGCAGACACAGTCCGTCCCGTATTTCTGATATGTACTGCTCCTGGTGGAATCAAATATATGCCAAGTTACTTAAAAACCTCCCTTGAAAGCATCTAAGAAGAGAGACAAATCCCAGACTTTGGAAGAAAAAAATTGAAGCGATTTTTATTTACGGTGCGATGCGTAACTTTCACGAGACCGAAAGGATTTTTAATGAACGTTTTCCGAATCGTCCCATCTGTAGAAAATATTTGAGGGAACTTGTATCCAAATTCACAACTACCAGAAGTGTATACATAACAAAAAATCCCCGGGTCATCCGTCCATTCCAGAAGAACAGCAAGTGCGAATAATTGGTGAGATGCGGTAGTAAATCCTTAACAGTCTACTCATTCCATCGCGAATGTTTGTGAGGTGCCTCCTTCTACTGTGTGGAGACTTTTGAAGAGGAATAGGTATCATCCATACAAACTTAAAATGGTACACTAATTAATTGAAGATGACCCTGATCGAAGAACAGAATTCTGCGAAATCTTGACAGAAACCATTGCAAGGCATCCTACTTATTTCCACAATATTTGTTTTAGTGATGAATGTACATCCTAGACGGCAATGTTCACAGATAAAATTGCCGTATAATTGGAGTGACACCAACCATCACGTTTTCCGGGAAACATACCCAATATCAAGAAAAAATTACCGTTTGGGCAAGAATATTGGGAAACCATATTGTAATACCTCTCTATATTGATCAAAATTCAACAGGGGATTTGTATTTGAACATGCTGGAAACATGCTGCTAATGAATTCGATATGAATGTTGTATTCCAACAAGATGGAGCACCACCACATAACTCCAGACAAGTGGGAAACTATTTGGATACTACTTTTCCCGGTAGTTGGATTGGCCGTCGAGGTCCTACAGAATGGCCAACCCGCTCGCCAGATTTGACACCTTTGGATTTTTTTATGGGGCTATTTGAAGCAAAAGGTGTACGAAACTGAACCTGCTTCAATATTGGATATACGTCAGAGAATAATTAATATTTGTAGAGATATTGATGTTACTGTGTTCAAAAATGTTCGGCGTGAAATATCGGATAGGCTGTTCATATGTCAAGAAGTTCAAGGCAACCATTTCGAGCATGTTCTGAACTGACCTCACGCTTATTACCTCATATTATGTAATCAAATGTCAATGTATATATTCAGGAATTACTAAAAGTTCCGCCATTTTGTAGTAGTTGAAG